TTCATAGGCAAAATAATTTTTAAATAGATTTTTAATGGAATTTTATTTAATTTAACCCCCTCATCCCCTTCCTAAGTGATTTTGTTAATTTTTTTAGGTTGTATTTTATAGTTTCTAATAATTTGGCACTAACGTTATTTCAATACCCAATTGTCTTCATAGGCACATTAATTTTTAAATAGATTTTTAATGGAATTTTATTTAATTTGACCCCCTCATCCCCTTTCTAAGTGATTTTGATAATTTTTTTAGGTTGTGTTTTATAGTTTTTAACAATTTGACACTATTTTTATTTCAATATTCTGTTATCTTTATAGAAAAATTGATTTTTTAATGAATTTTTTTATTGGATTTTTATTTCAGTTTACCCCTTAATCCTTTCTCTAAACACTTTTTATTTGTTTCTTAAAAATTTAGTAGTAATTTTATTTCAATAACTTCACAGAAAAATACATTTCGACGCCACTGGTAACTCGGGTGTTTCCGGTAAACGGGCTGCTGGAAAGTGGCTGCTAACTTCACACCGGTAAAATATGCATTAAACATATATTTTTGAATTTAAATGTGAATTTAATAAGTAAAGTTAGACATTAAATTAACTAAAATTAACTACACTTTGAGATCGAAACCGCACATTTGGCGCAATAATTATAATTTTTAAATTTTTTCTATTTGGTATATTCATTAAAAATTTTGGTTTTAAGAGTTTTACCCGAGAATAACGATCAAGGAGAAGCGACAGTAGCTGTCGGTGCCTTTGATATCGGATGTACCTTTTTCACAGCATGACTTTGATTGATACACAACTTAGCACGCTGAGAAAACATGCTTATTTTCTACACTGAGCGAAATAGTTTGGCAAATTATCTGAAATCATTATTATAGTCCATGCGCAAATGTTGTAATGTGATAAGAAAAAGAACGTTACTAGTGTGAACGATTTGCGTCCCATCTCTATCCTACCAGTGTTATCCAAAGTGATTGAAAAAATCATGAAATTTCAATTAAATATTCATTTAAAAAATAATCAAATACTTCCACTGCGACAGTCAGGTTTTCGTTCTGGCTATAGTTGTGCTACAGCTTTACTGGATGTCACTGATGATCTCTTCAGGGATATTGATGTCAAAAAAACGGCAGCACTTGTTATGCTAGATTATTCCAAAGCATTTGATACTATTAATCATTAAATTTTACTTTCAATATTACATTTTATTGGTTGCTCTAATGATGTTATCAGACATTTTAATAGCTACCTGTATAACAGGAAACAATTTGTGGTTACTGATGCAGGTTCATCAAATACTAAGCAGATTTCCTGTGGAGTTCCTCAGGGATCAATACTTGGGCCATTATTATTTTCACTATATACCTCCAACTTTGAGAATAGCATTAGGAATGGTAAGCCATTTTTTTATGCTGACGATACTCAAGTTAAATTTTCTTTTAATCATAATGATTCCTTAGAAGCTAATAATCATATTAATGAAGATCTTGACAGACTAGTTAAACTTTCAAATATTCATCAACTTAATATTAATCCAGCTAAGAGTGTAGTAATGTTATTTGGTAAATACCGACATCAACTACAAAATGAAATGCAGATTCTAGTTGATGGGAATATTTTATCATTTTCCACATCTGCTCGCAATTTAGGTTTAGTAATTGATAATGACTTGAGGTTTAAACTTCACGCTAACAAGTGCATCCAAACAGCATACATGAATTTAAAAATGCTTTACCCACATCGACATGTTCTTCCAACTACAACAAAATTGTTATTAACAGATTCCCTGGTTCTGAGTAATTTTAACTTTTGTGATTCAGTTTATGGGCCCTGTTTAGATAACGCAGACATAATTAGAATTCAGAGAGTACAGAAATCTTGTTTAAGATTTTCTTATGGAATACGGAAATTTGATAGAGTCTCTCATAAACTCAAGGATTCAAACTGGCTAGATATGCAATCCAGACGAAACTTACACTCGGCTAATTTGTTTCATTCTGTTATTTTACATAAATCCCCTCCATATCTTTTTAATAAAATAATGTATCGTTCTGATGTTCATAACCTCAATCTACGTTTTTGTGGTCGTATCTCACCTCCAATACATAATACTGCTATTTTCAGACGGTCTTTCACTTATAATATTTATGCAATGTACAAGGTTATCCCACAACATTTTAAAGAAATGTCTGTAAGTAAATTTAAAAAATTTTACAAAAAGTTTCTTCTTGACACAGCAGAGTGATAGCTACTTTTTAGAATGTTTATACTTTTTTTTCTCACTATCATTTGTGTTTATTTTTATATTGTTTTTTGTACGATGTCCTGTGGCGTTGGTAATACTCAGGGCTGGTGCCTTGATCAGTATCCACTGTTCACCAGTCCTTTTTGCAGCCTTCTTTGGCACTTTTTTTTCTGAATATTTTTATATGTATAAAAAACTGGAAGTTGCAAATAAAGTTTATTATTATTATTATTATTATTATTATTTAATTACATTGAAGTAGTTAGGGTTAATAGCAATGGTGAAATTTCGGCACCAAATTATAATTCATTATGTAATAATTAATTATTTATTATAAAAGTAAAAGACGTTTATTATTTTATAATTTATCTATAAAATTTGTTCAATATTTGGTTTATTTATTGTTGAAAATGTAATAAAAGCCCCATATTTAAATTAAATTACCTTTTCCTTAAGTAAAAATAAGGTAAATAAAATTAAGGGTGCCAAAAAAAATTTAGGTAACAATTAAAAAGACAATAAGTTTGAGATATTTAACTAAATATTTGCAATGTGCTTATATTTTCAAAAACTTTTAGGTTTAAAAAGTAGTTACATATTTTTAGAATTTCTGGATTTATATTATATTAAAAGGACTTTCAAGTTTATCACTCATTTCTGTATAAACAAGTGTTTTCTCGCCAAGTTAAGCAAGATGTCATTTAAGGTTTATGTATTTAGAGTTAAATACCTGGCCTGGCTATCACCCAGACAATACAAATATGTCCATTGGACGTCCAAGAATGAGTTTTTTGTGGACTTCCGATATCCAATAGACGTCTAGTGAATTATACAAATGGAACACTTTTGACCATTCAGAGGACGTTCAATTCTGGAATATATTTGGACGTCGAATACTGAACATTCAAAAAACGTCCAGGATTATATTTCCATTGAGACCACATCCCCACTTTTTTTACAGAACCGCAACTTACCACACACTATTTTATATTATTAATAATTTGTTTATTATTTTCGCAAACCGCCCCAACAAACAATAAATTGCCGGGATATTGTTGGCCTTTTGCTGTAATTGAGGGAAAATGAATGCGACGATTAAAAGATAAAAGCCTACTTTTGGCCTTTCGATAGTGGTCCAGCATTATGTTGCTGGATGATGGCCTTATGAAGAGTAAGTAACTGTATTGGGTAAAAGCATGGTAAAAGTCAAAAGGTTTTTAACTGCCGCTAACAGTCCAAGAGGACCCCGTCCCGCGTTCATAGATGGAAACACCGATGATCGCTTGTTATATACTCAACGAGTGGACATGCGGGCCAGTCTCGTATTGCTGGTATTCAGTATTCATTGTAATTTTTTACTTTTACATGTTAATTTAGAATATTAATAATTTTTTTGAAGAAGACATTTTTTCAGTATTATCATATTATATAGCTGAATTAAATAATATTTCCACAATATTTTATATTGAAATGCCTTCTGTTTTTGTATAGATATTATAGTTCAAACGGTGTACTACTGGTCAAAGGACACTATCGAATATTCTGTGATCATGTTCCTGACACATGGCCTTTATTAATATGGTAAAAGGCCATCAATTTCCCGTTATCTTGCCATCAATAGGCCATTAATTGCCAAAATATTTATTTCTAGACATTAAAGGTGAAATAAAGGCCCATTAATAGGTTATGATGGCAAAGTGACTTCGGCCCGACTGTCGGCCGTAGTGACCTATATATGCCGGTGACAGTTATTAGGTCTTTACTTCCCCTACACAAAATGTTTGTTGGGGCTATACACCATTTATTTATTTTTTATTAAAAATCGCTTGACCTGAGCAGGAATCGAACTCACGACACATCCATTATCAATTTCAATTTCAATTTATTTCAATTTCAATTTCGATTTTTTCAATTTATTTATGACAGGATTAATTATAGTAATAACATGATTAATTACAACAATAAACAAATTATAAATTAATCATAAGTAAATAAGTTAGCACCTATGTGTGGGCACCTGTATGTGCTAGACAGACTAAAAAACTAATACATAAAGATTATCGTTTTACCCTTTCAATCGCTAGACGAGCTCGACCATGGAACCACTTGAAAACTTTTTACTAGATACAGTTATAATTGAATAAGATTTCAAACTTCCGCTGATAGAATGAAATGCAATAGATTCAAGTTGTCAATTTTTATTAATAATTATAAATTCACGCTACTGCACTAAAAGTTTTGGTGTAGAATATCGGTGTAGGTGTGCTTGAAGGTGACGGGCCCTCGAAGATCACGTGATCGGAGATATCCTTCTGGTTATTATTTATTCTTGTGATAATGATTCCTAACCAATTACAACATACTGATAACAGATATGAAATATTATATACATTTTATATTTGTTTACTTGATGCAAGAAATAATTTTTAAAATTTTCTGAATAAGTGATTTATCATCCCAATAATCTCATTAATTTAAAATTAATTTGTAAATTTTTACAATATTTTAAATTTTATAGGATTTAACTGTTTTAACTATTTATATATAAAAAAATATTCTATTGGTATCAAATTACAATCACAGGATTCGTCAAATTTTATTAGATTGATAAATTTTAATGGTCCTTAATAAAACCAGCTGTAAATCAGTCAAAATAAAAATTTAAATGGTTCAGGATTGATCCTAACTAATTTTACTTCATAAACACCCTATATTTAAAAAATACTTATTTTTTATTATGATTTTCAGCGTCACTATTATCAATTTTATCTGTTAAATATGAAGACGACAGAAGAAAATCTTCATTAGGACAAAAAGTACCAAAGGATCCTTATTATGTAGTGTATATCACGTGTTTTCTTATGGGATTTATGAATGTTGTGCCAATATTCTTTTTTAATGCAGCTGCTGGGGTGAGAAAACAATGATTCTTAACTAATTAGGTAAACAATATAAACCAATCATACACTGTCCCAAATGGGGATATTTATAGTTAAATTTTCTCACCAAGTTCAAGTAGAGTTTTTTCCCAGTCTGCATGACTATTCTCAATGTCATATAAATATGGTAGGTATGATAAAACTCTTCTACCAATTTTATAGTGTGGACACAAGGATCCATCTTAAAACCGATTTCGTATATTCTCTATGTTAATTAGTATTTTCCCATATTTAACGAGAAATTTATTATATTTTTAATTTTAGTATTGGATGTACAAATTTCGAGACCCCAGTTTAGGATCTGGAACAACTTCGGGTTCTGAAAGAACAACCTTGCAAGCATATTACCAACCGTGCGCAGTGGTAGCGCAACAACTTCCAAGCATCATTTTCTCGTTCATCTTGACCGTGTACGGCCACAAATTTTCCGCAATGAAAAGGGTTTTGGTTACACTATCATTGTTTGTAGTTCTCTATCTAACGTTTGCTGTGTTTACGCAGATCAATACTGATTCATGTGAGTGGTAGGTACTAACCTATATAATATAGTACGAATAGAATGTGGAATAGAAAACCAATAATTTTTACTATTTTAGGGCAGTCTGGATTTTTTGTGATGACTATATCTCTTCTAGTATTGAATACTGGTAAGTATAAACGATTTATTTGATAATGATAATTTTAATTAGATAAAAAATGTGGCATTAAATTTTTTATCTAATAATTAATAATTTTGTCCTGTCTTGGAGCCTTTAAATCCAGTAAAGTGAACAGCCTTTTTGAGCTTCCTGTTAATTTCCGCCATCAACTAAATTTACTGCCATATCTTTAAAGAATATCTTTAAATTCAGAAAACATAGTATGAAAACCTTTTTAGTCATTCAACACGTCAAGAATTTAATTAAAGGTTATAGGTGTGTACGCACTGATAGTTAAGTGTGTAAGGTTTTTAATAATCGTCAATAATTGCTTAATATGTTCCACTTAGATAATATCGACATCTAAAAAGCTGGCAAATATTATTCTTATTCATTGACATGAGCTGAGAACCGAAGTCCTATAAAGCTAATATTATTCAAAAAATTTTAATTAAAAATAAAAAAAAAATTTTAATCTATAAACTATATAAATTGGTATTAAAAAAAAAATGAAAGTATAAAGACAATAAATTACGTTAAGTTACATTACTTCATTTGGTGTGATTATAATTTATATTTTCTATACAGATATATACATACTTAGCGAATCCAATTTGTTTTTAAACAAGTTAACTGAAGGTGCGCATACAACAACGTTATCAGGTAAATTGTTCCAAATAGAGAAAACTCGGGTTGAAAGAAAATTTTGCCTAACTCTAGAGTTAAAATTTTTCTTTTTTAATTTGAACACGTGCCCACATAGACACAGGTCATTATTTGATACAAATAATTTAAAAAGATCGACAGCGAACATATGCCTAATTGCGCGAAAACAAACGATTAAATCATCACCCAGTCGACGCTCACTAAAAAGAGTCAGATTAGCCGTAGATAGACAGTGTTCATAGCGTGGCCTTCTTATACCTTGTCGCAAGTCGCTACATATTTTCCAACCTCTTTTGATCCGAGATTAATACGGGACACCAAACAGGATCACAGTACTCCAGGCGAGGACAAAAATATGTTGTGTAAATTTTCAAAAATGTTGAGGGAGAAACATTGCCAAAAGTCTCTTTTAATAAGAAAAGTTAAGAGTTTATTTGCTTGCTTAAGTGATAATATATGCTCTGACCACGTTAAGTCTTTAGTAATGATAACGCCGAGATTATTTTGGGACGATATTGTCTTTAAGGCATTATTATTAATATTATACACCATTTAGGATTGTTTTTACCGATATGAAGAACATATTTATCAACGTTAAGCGGTAATAACTAGTCTAAACTCCACTTTGATACTGCACTTAGATCAGATTGAAGAGGCCGGTAGTTCGCAATCGGATTAGCTTAAATTTTTGTATCGTCTGCGTAGAAGGAGCAACAGCTTCTTATGTGCACATAAATATTAGCAGTATATAATAGAAAAAGTAGGAGACCAAGGACTAATCCTTGATGCACTCCACTGACAACGGATTTGGTTAAAGACAAACTATTACCAACTCTTAAGCGAAATTGTCTGGAGGTTATGAAATCCGTTACCCAATCTATTAAGTTGCCTCGGATTCCCAGGTGTTCAATCTTTTTGAGAAGTCGGTGCTTTGGAACTTTATCAAAGGGTTTAGAAAAATTCAAGTATATAATATCTGTAGGAAGACCAGCATCTAAGGCTTTTGTCCAGTCATTGACAGACTGCAGGACATTAGTTAAGGTAGATCGTCCTGTGATAAATTTATGTTGTTGGGTGGGAAGTACACGTTTTTTTTACAAGAAAGTCAGTTACCTTATCACATATTATGGACTCCATTACTTTACAAACTATTGGTACAAGGCTCATCGGCTCATCGGCCTCCCAAATACAACATACATCTTGGCATAATATCTTTGAAAATAATGACCCGGAATCTGTAACAAAACAATTCATTGAAACTATAACTTCAAACCTAAACAAAAGTATTATTAATATTAAGGTATACAGGAAAAAATCTAAACTCACACCTTGGATGACTAACGAATTAGTCAAGTTAATTAACACAAAAAACAATTTACACAAACAAATTAAAAAATATCCTCACAACGAAAATTTAAAACATGAGTATAAATATTACAGAAATAAAGTAACAAACTCAATTAAAAAATGTAAATTTAATTACTATCAAAATTTGATTAACAATAATAAAAATAATTCACAACAACTTTGGAAAATAATTAATAATCTTTCTAATAATAGTAATAAGCCAAATCGCGAAATAAAATCCTTATATAGTGACAATGACCAGGGGATCTTAGTATCAGATCCTAAACTTATTGCTAGTCAGTTTAATAAAATCTTTTCAGAAACTGGAGAAAAATTAGCAAATAAAATTAAACAACCTCCCAATTATCAACCTCCAAAAATTTCTGTTCCAAATAGCTTTGTATTATATCCTACTAATAAAAATGAAATAAAAAATATAATTAATAATCTAAAATCTAAAAAATCACCGGGAATTGATAAAATTACATCTGAAATTTTACAAATTATATCTCCTTTTATTCAAGAACCTCTAACCTATATAATTAATAAATCTATGGAATATGGTTTATGGCCATCATCCCTAAAAGAAACCATTGTTGTTCCCATTTTCAAAAAAGGTGATCAAAACATTGCTAGCAACTATCGGCCCATTTCCCTTATTTCCAGTCTATCGAAGGTCTTTGAGAAGGTGCTAGAGACACGCTTAACTTCATATTTAAATAAATACAATTTATTATCTAACAATCAGTATGGTTTTAGAAAAAAGAAATCTACTGAGGATGCTTTATTGGCTCTGACAGAAAAAATTAATAATGCTCTTGACAGAAGCAAACCCTGTCTTTGCATATTTCTGGACCTCTCAAAGGCTTTTGACACTGTCAGTCATCCTTTACTTCTTGATACTCTAGAGAACTATGGTATACGAAATATTCCTCTAAACTTATTTAAAACCTACTTAAATGGAAGAACACAAATGGTTAGAATACGTAACATATACAGTAGTTTCTTACCGGTCAGATATGGAGTTCCCCAAGGTACTATTCTAGGCCCACTTCTTTTTAATTTGTATATTAACAATCTGTTTTCAATCAAATCTAAAGGTGAGATTCTGGGCTTTGCGGACGATACAGCTGTTTTCTATAGCAGTGATACTTGGCATAATATTAAAGATCTGGTCGAGAGTGACTTTCCTGAAATCCAAAATTGGCTTAACTCAAAATTACTAACTATTAATTTAGAAAAAACGTTTTACTTACCATTCTATTGTAATAAACCATCAGCACCTTTCTTTAATAATTTAAATTTTACTAATAATAACTGCCACTTTAGAATTAACCAAGTATCAAATATAAAATATTTAGGAATCTATCTAGATAGCCATCTTAAGTGGGACGAACATATACTGTTCATTTGTAAAAAACTAAGATTTATCCTTTACACATTTAAATACTTAAAATCAATCCTTAATATTAATCAACTGAGACTTCTTTACTCTGCTTTGGTGGAGAGTCACTTGAGGTATGGCCTTTTAGTATGGGGCAACGCTTTAAAAACTCATATGCATACACTAGAAATCATCCAACGAAGGTTTTTAAAACTGATGCTTAATAAAGATTTCACATACCCAACAAACCTGCTATATTCCGAATCAAAAATTCTAGATATCCGACAACTTTTTACGTAAAGGTAAATATATATTATCATTTCAACAAAAAAAATATACAACTACAACACTCCTATAATACACGAAATAAAAATTCAGAGTTAATTCCCCATATGCATAAGTCAGTTGGACAACGAGCTTACTCATATATCGGACCTAAAATGTACAATTCATTACCACCTGATTTAAAATCAATAGTCTATCTAAAACATTTTAAAAAAAATCTGACTCTCTACGTTGAACAACACCGTGATTTAATTCATTATGTAATCGAGATTCTGTAGTTAAGCAGATATATCTGTCTTCGGTCTATCTTTCCACTGTTTCAGAAACTGTAAAAACATTTATTTTTTAATTTATCTTTAAATTTGTCTCTTAGTGAAGTTATTTATTGTGTATTGTTTGTTCAATATATAAAAATTGTATGAAATGTTTATTCACAATGTATTTTTATGCATATTATGTTATTTAAAAATATAGTCATTTAATTTTAATTATTGTCTAGTATATATTTGTATTTAGATTTACTATATTGTATATTGTATGTATTTTTTATTCTAAATTATTTTCGAAACAAGTGTTAAATCGCTTATCGAGCATAATAATTTATTCTAATTTACTATATTAACATGTACTTCTATTTTTGAGAATAAATTATATTATTATTATTATTATTATAGTTAATTGGGTCAAGATTATTGCCCTTTTTGAATATGGCAGTCACTGACGCAGTCTTTCATATAGATGGCAAGATGTGAGAATTAGAGGAGGAGGTCATTATACGGCAAATGGAATAACAGAGAGCCTCAGCACAAGATTAAAAAAAAAAGAGGAGATACCATCTAAGCCTGGCGAGGAGTTGGACTTTAATATTTTAAGTTTATCTGGGCCAAACTATACGTTGGAAATAGAGGCCTGTATTCTGTTTACTGAAATATTCGAAAGTGGTGATGTCAGATCTTTAAGGGTGAAGACATTACAGAAGATGTTAGAAAGAAGTTGAGCAGATTCAGTATTGTTGGCACACTTATCTCCGTTTTCTTTTTGTAAAACTTTTTGCTATAAGCACAGTTGGCGATGTATTCTCCTGATAGATATACTTTGCTTCAATAACTGCGGCCTTTAGTTAATTGGGGGATGAGCAGAGAAATCGTTTATATTGGCGGTTTCTTAAATTATTTCCATAGGTGCTTCTTATGTTTTACCATAGATAGCAGTTGATTATTTATCTAGTGTTTCAGATTTGTTCTTCTATTTACGATTTACGTATTTTGTTCTTAGTATAAGATTTTAAACAATTATTAACCATATTTTGAAAGATATTCCACATGCAGCTCGGATCATAGATAGGAAAAAACTTCAGCAAAGTTTGTGAGTGAGAAGATGGTGTGATTGGATGTGCAAGAAGAGAATGATTGAAATTGTAAACGACACATTATGACTGCATGATCAGATATTACAAGTGGTGGGAGATACATCGGTGGGGTTAACAGTTGTTCACCATTGATTAGTAGTAGATCGAGGGTAGAAGGATCCTGATTTATTTTAAATCTCGTGGGTTGGGTTATTAGTTAAACAAAACTAGAATTATGGATAAATTCCATGAACTGATTGGTAACATTCTGAGTGTCAGGTACAGAAGTTATTGGCCATTTAATGTCTGGAAAATTGAAATCACCTAATATAATCAGATTTTCAGAATCACTTAGGACATCGAGTTTGTCTAGCAGAGCCGCGTCAGTAGCAACAGGTGTGTCTGGCGGAAGGTCAATAACTGCAAGAGTAATATGGTAATTTAGATGTTGCAGCTGCAAACAAAGAGAATCAATAGGAGGAACTGAGATATCTACGGATATGTTGAGCTACATAAATACATACTCCCCCTCCTCGTCTATCAATTCGATTATATCTAAAAATCTGGTAATTGGGAATAGATATTAAGCTGTCTGGAATATTTACATTGAGCCACGTTTCGGAAATTAAAATAAGGTCCGGTTTTTCAGATTGAATAAGACCAATAAATTCATTGAATTTTTTGGGAAAAGAATCTAAATTTGTGTACAATAAGAGCCAATCATTGAAAGTTAAAGATGAAATTACTTGATAGACCAGTCGTCAGTGCCATGTCGATTTTTATTTTTAAATTCAGTTCTAAGTTCGTTTAGATATGAATTTTGAGCCTGAGTTTTGTCATCGGTGGTACTAAAATCCTTGATTAAATTATTTTCCATTAGATTACGTTTCGAGCGAAGAATATAAACACTTTAATATCCAAATACAGTAAAATAAATACTTTCTAAACAATCACTTAGTCTAATTATGGGTTAAGGTCTAGCTCTGTTATAAGTAGCATTGTTTTCTAATCTAACTTACTTCTTGTAGCATTAACAGCCACAATTCAGATGTCATCGGCAGTAGTAATGGCTAAACTGCCTCAGAATTACCTGATGTCTTTTCTACTAGGCCAGAATGGATCTATCTTGACGTCAATCTTACAAATCATAGCTGTAGCAGTAACAGATTTTCAACCGACAGCAGGATTAATTTACTTCTTAGTAGGATCATTCATAATAGCTATTACATTGGCATTGCTAATGATGTCAAGGAATACGAAATTGTTTGAGCACTATCAAGTTGAAGTTGCCAATAATCAACATTCTGAGATGATTAGTAGAGTTGAAGCTAAGGAGCTTCTAAAGAAAATTTGGCCGAGTCTAGTTATTACTTGTATTTTGATTGGGAATATGACTACTATACATCCAGCAATCACCACATTGGTGGAGTCTCAATATAATAATACATCGTGGAGTGGTAAGTGTATTTTTCTACTTTGATAAGCTATCTGTATCGGGAAAAATATCCGAAGCTGGAGGGTTCCACAACCTTGACCGCGTCGTTATGATGACACTGACATTCTCTAGACTGACAAAGGCCAACGTAACAGCTTTTAGAAGTAATTAGAAAATATCTATTGAAATAGATAATTTTAAATTGACCTGATTATTTAGTTAGTTTTATTATTTTTACAATTTTTATTTTAGATAAATATTTCACCCCTGTATGTGTTTTTTTAACTTCCGATGCTGCATCGTTACTTGGAAGAATTGTATCAAACAAAGCTTTAATAACGGTAAGTTTACATTAAATTTTATTATCATTTGGTTACATACAGGTTATATAAGTTATATACAGAAATGCTCCCATACTTGGCAATGACCAAGCTCTAGTGTTGTCAAGATAACTTAAAAGCTTCATACCAACTCGGTAACTTCTTGTTTCATCCTGTTTCCCTTAAATTTCACACGGGAATGTTCTTTAATTTGGATTGTCACTAGCGTTATTGTTAATCCAATGGAAGGGCCAGATTCAAAAATTATTCGTTTGGCTGCCTTTTTGGCTAGTGAATCAGCAAGACGGTTGGTTAACTTTCGATCCATCTTAAGGTAACCACAATGTTGATGGATACTTAACACAAAGCTTTGAGGCATTCTAGAAAAACACCTGAGTAAATTCGTGGTCTGTCCAGAGTGAGTAGTGCTGGTCTGCTATCTATACAGGGTGTTTAAAAAAAAGGTGGGCCCGTTGCTAAGATAGATATCTAGAACATTTCAAACTAAGTTAGGTTTACTCAATAACGGAATTCGTTGTCAAGAAAAAGGGTTTTAAAAAAATATTATACACATTTTTTACAAATATGTCAAACGTACAGACAAAATTATAATTAAGTACCAAGTAGTTTTAAACATAACTTTTTTGAGGTTAAATTTTCTAATCCAAATTTTATGTAAATTCAAACAACATTCAATTTTACAGCAAAAAGATACTCTTGGTCAAACTCAATACTGTGTACCTTTTTTGGAATATTTTGATTTGAAAATGATAAGAGTAACAACTACTTATTTATTAAAAATTAAAAATACCATTATTCTAATCCTATCTGTATCTGTAACGGGTAGAGGGTGGGTAAACCCACAGTACTCAGGCTTCACTAGGCTCATTGTGCATCCTCCCAAGTAGATATGCACCTCCTAATTCATGAGGCAGCCTACAGATTTAATGTAGTTGATAACGTCGCCAAGAGGTAGATGCTTCTCTTATATCGGCCGGTGTTAGCCAATTCTTGCTGAACACAAATCTTCTAATGAATGAGGGCGTCGGATAATCGAAGAGGATATGCTCAATGCTCTCATCTTCTTGTTCGCACCCACTACCGAGTGGATTCTGATAGCCCCATGATATGTAGGAGATGCTTCATTACTTGGCAATGTCCAGTCAGAATGCCTGTGATTAGTATAGATTCTATCTAGTCAAAGTCAAGTATTTGTTCGCTGTAGTGTTGTCACTTAAGAGATCTCTGGCAAGTCCGCAGCTTCTCTTTTCATCCTGTCTTTCCTTGAATTTCACAAGGAAATGTAATTTAATTAGGTTTGCGACTACCGATGTTGTCAGTCCAATAGAAGGACCAGGTCCAAAAAGTATTTGGTTGGCTGCATTCTTGGCAAGTGAATTAGCTTTCGATGTGGCGTGACCTTTAATCCATTTTAAGTTGACCACAGTGTTGATGGACACTTTTGCCAAAGCTTCTGTATAAATAAGCATGTTTCTTCCAGATATAATATTTCTGGTTGTTTCTTTTGCTGCTATGATAATCCCCGCGAGTTCGGTGTGAATTACACCGGCACTACTGCTCACAGCCTATTTTATGTTTAGGTTTAAGGATCTCAAGTATACTCCACAACCTGAGATTTGTTGTTTTAGAACCGTCGGTGTAGATATGAATTGTACCTGCTACTTACAGCTCTTCTATTTGTTCTGCTATAACTTCAAATGGCTTATGAATAATATATATCGGTGAGATGGAATGCATGTTCGCTTGAAGCATGGGAACCAACGGATCCCGTAAAAAGCGTCGTCTCGCCTCACCAGATACTATATTGGGTTCTATTCCAACCGTGTGGAGGCACCGTGCGTCAGTCCATTACACATTTAATGTTTCAAACTACCTAAATTTGCGTTTTAGCGAATTTGCTTGGACAACAGGTAGTCTTGATTTGAACCCTTCAGATTTTAATAATTGTGGCTACATAAAATCGCGAAAGGCAAATAGCTGGAAAAATTTTGTACACTAATACACAGTACGTAAATAGAGTATATCAAATATGCATATAATACAGAAATATACATTTTTATTTGCCAGACAGCACCCTGTAAATCCAAAAATATTTTTTAATTCCCTATAACTTTTGTTTGAAACTTGTTTCCGTATTTTTTATACACCACAGTACACCAGTGGTTTTTTTACCAATGGTTTACTACTTGTAGTCGCTTGTTTATGGTGAACCATTATTAAGATTCTAATAATTACTTCAGTTTGTTTGTAGGCCTGATGATGGAAAATTAGCCGAAACCGATTGCCGTTTCAATTTAATTGAATTTTAAATGTTATTTATTTTGTTACTACGTTGGAGAAAATGTATACCCTTTTATTTTTAGTACTAATTTGTTTGTCTGTTTTGTAGGAATCAAATAAATGGTGGTACGTAGTTATCACCCTAGCAAGATTTCTAGTCAGTGTACCGATATGTATGCTCTTTGATGCACAACCAAGAACTAATATTCCTGTAATATTTAACAAAGATTGGGAGTTTATAATTTTCTCGGCACTCTTTGGTTTCACCATGGGCTTTTTAATGAACATCTCCTTCATGAGCTTAAAGAGGTAAAAACATTATTTGATATACCTCAGATATAATACTCTGTTTTTAAAACTAATGAATGTATTACCCATATTATAGTATATTTTACTATGAATTATTTTTGACGCTGTTAAACATTTTAGCCAAAATTAAATATTGATATGTAGCTGAATTATTATACACCTATGATTTTTTTTTATCTGACACTCATTGCAATATCTTGCGTATGATATTGTTACGCAGTACCCTGAAGTAGCCTACAGCTATTTAGGAAGCAAACAGATAGAAAAAGAAGTGGAATGTTACTCATCGTCATAAGTAAAAGTACAAGTAAAAGAAGATAGAATAGTCCATAAATGTCATTACCCGTCAAGAATATTCTAGACGACAGTTCGCGAAGGTTCGAGAAGGGAAGCAAGTTATATAATGCTGATCCTGATGTCAGTTTGGAGTTTTTATTGATAGACGTTACATGTGAATGTTATCAGTTGTTAAGGTTATGTTTGAATAAATTGAGATTCGAAAACCCTGCGTAACATTGGTGACAGCGGTGGGACACAAAGTAAAAGTTCATGGTAAATACTAGATCCACTGAGTACGAAGCAGACATGGATACTTCAGGCCCACCAGCATGGTTTTTGAAGATGGAAGGGGAAAAGGAAAGAAGTAGGAAGGAAGAAGAGGAAGAAAAGGAAGAAATGAAAAGGCACAGGAAGGAAGAAGAGAAGGAAAAGGAAAGGCGTAGAAAGGAAGAAGAGGAGGAAAAGGAAAGGAGTAGGAAGGAAGAAGAGGAGGAAAAGGAAAGGCAAGAATAGGAGAAGGAAAGACGCAGGATGGATGAGGAAAAAGAGAGGGACGAGAGGTGTAGAAAAACTGAGGTAGAAATTATAAATGCTTTGCTACAAATTTAGGAAACCTTTAAGCAAGAGGTTGGTCAGCTTAAAATTGGAGTAGATTTGTTATAGCAACAACAAGAGCATTTAAGAACTACTTTAGAACAGCAGCAAGAGTATTTAAAAACTAATATAGAACAACAACGAGAGTTCGAAAGGCAAATTAGAACTGAACTAGTTGAGTTAGAAAGAAGAATTCGTAGCCAAGCTTCGATAAGAAATAGAGAAACTGAAAACACTACCTCGTCCTCATCTATACCCAAATCAAGCCATATCCAAAACCCAATTTCACAAAGTCACACTAGCAAGACCATTAAGCCACCCACGTTTGACGGTCAGACAACATGGAAAACGTATCGACTCCAATATAAAGCTGCAGCTAGAGCCAATGGCTAAACCGAGAAAGAGATGGCGGCTTCATTGATAGTGTCGCTGCGAGGATAGGCAGCAACCATTTTACAGTTACTTCCCCAAGAAGGAGGCAAGATATGGCCAGCAGCATTTGAAAGGCGTATTTCAAAGACAGCTAAAGGTTCGTAGTCAGAAACATAATGAGAGTCTACAGAAATTCGAAGCCGACATAAGAAGATTGATTTATCTGGCTTATACACAGGCGCCCAAAGATTTCCAAGAACAAATCGAATTACAGGCATTCATTGATGGACTACAAGATGTGGAAATGCAGCAAGCCCTTCCTCTACAGCAACACAAGACGCTAAGGGAGAAACTGATTGCAACATAGGAATATGAAGCTATAAAACTACTATCCAAATCTTCCCGCACAAGCATGAGAGAAATTAAGTCCCAGGAAAGTGAAAAAGCCAATACTTATACTATTCTTCAACCTACACTCTCACATATATTAAATATCCTGCAAAATATGCAACGAAGCAGCCAAGATGGAAGCAGGAATTGCGGAAAAATCGAGCACCTTCAAAGGACCTGTAGAAGGAAGGCTAGCTCTATAAATCAAGAATCAGGGAATAAGGTCAGAAAGTCCCATATATCAATTTTCCGAAGCCCATCACGAAGTCTAACAAGAAATAGTTACAGCAGTTATGAGTCCCAGAAAAGCCAATCACCCACACATAGCCGGCTTTTTAGCAATAAAGAGGAAGTAGAGCATCGAAGAGGCCGTCTCCCTAGCAACGCAGACATTCTCTCCCGTCGATCCTGTTTAAAACGAGAATGCCGGTACAATAAAGGGCACGGAGAACGAGAGGAATCGGTTGATAAAGTTGCACTTCGGGCAATCGCCATCAATACAGAGGGTGAAAAAGAAGAAAACACCTTGAAAGTCTTAGAAAGGAACAGAAGAAAGACAATGACTTGAAGGTTGTCCGAGAATGGCTCAAAAATAAAGTAATACCTACTTGGCAAGAGATAGCCAAATACAATAGAACTATAAAAGGCTACTGGACCCAGTAGGATTCCCTGTATCTTCACGATAGCCTATTGCACCGGAAGTGGTAGAGCCCCGATAGAGTACATGTAGTCCGCCAAGTGATACTGCCGAGGTCACAGGTGAGAAAAATATTGGAGGAGCTTCATAGCAGCCGTTCAGGAGGACACTTTGATACTAAAAGGACACTGGCACGAGTTCGGGAAAGATTTTATTGGGTCAATTGCCGACGGGATGTAGTGGTGTGGTGGATTGGTGTAAAAAATGTGATGTATGCAATATCCGAACAAAGGTCTATGGATTCGCTCGGCAATGACTGAAAGCCCACACCGATAAAGCAGAAGCTAGAATCGACAGGCGTGCCACAGATACACATTTTGAGAGGGGCGACAAGGTATTGCTGTGCAATTCCAAGCGGAACTGGGAAGGCCCCTACTCCGTCCTTAAGGAAAATTAACAACCTGATCTGCAACATTCAACTGTCAGCGGCAAGTAAATTCAACGTAGTTCACATTGAGAAGATAGCTCCATTCCATGGTCCAGATCCTATCCATAAGTTCAAACTAGGTCCCAGTAGTCAAGTTATTCGGGGCGAATAACTAGAGAGGAGGGATCAATGTTACGCAGCACCCTGAAGTAGCCTGCGGGTATTATAGGAAACGTACAGATAGAAAAAGAAGTGGAATGTTACTAATCGCCCTACATTGTGCTGCGGTCGTCATGAGTAAAAGTACAAGTAAAAGAAGATAGAATAGCCCAGAAATGTCATTACCCGTCAAGAATATTCTAGACGAGAGTTCGCGAAGGTTCGAGAAGGGAAGCAAGCTATATAAGGATGATCCTGACGTCAGTTTGGAGTTTTTATTGATAGACGTTACATGTGAATGTTATCAGTTGCATAATTGTTGTTAAAGTTGTGTTTGAATAAATTGAGATACCAAAAACCTGCGTAACAATATGTTTTATATATGTTGGATTTGACCACCGAAATATATTTTCTTTTTAATTTTAGCTTAGCACCTGGAAAGCAGGAACAATCATTAAAGATAATGGTACTATCTTTTTCATTGACAAGTGCTATCACAGCAGCTAATGGTTTGCTAATGGTGAAGGCGCTATTATTATAAATGCTCCAGAATAAATAGATCTCTTTATTTTTGTATATAGTTAAATAAATTAAATTAGGTATATTTAAAAAAAATATTGTAATTTTTATTACTTAAATTGTAACATACTTAGCAGCACATTTATTTGTGACCCATATATGGTTTGCTTATGTAGTTCCGAGGTTGGAATGTAAAACTTTTATTTATGATTTTCAAATCATATTCCAGATTCCAGGTAAAATATATACAGGGTGTCCCAAATAAGAGTGATCGATTTTAAATATAAATGCACAGCTTATTAATTGCTCTAAAGAGATGAGGTTTCCAGTAATTTCTTTCGTGTATCCAAAAGTTTTTTTTTTTCAAGTTTATTCACATTTTATCACATCAATACAGGGTGATCCACTAATGCGTAATTGAAATTTAACAGACACAAAATTAACCGAACATTAACATTTGGTCTATCTCTTTCAAATTCATTAAAAGTACATACATCTGTCTATTTCATACGAGAGTAAAACACTCGTAGGCAGATTTATTTGAATATAATTTGATACATAGTAAAATAAATCAACTTTTGCTATGACAAGTTGACAACAAAATCAACAAATTTGACAATTCATAAAAACAGAAGTAATTTAATATACTGTCACTTACAAAATGATTTATTCAGTAACTGAAAAAGCTCAATCTGTGTTAATTTATGCAGAAAATCAATCTATCTCTCGAACAAGGAGAATATTCAGAAGAAAATTTGGTATAAATCCATCCCCCTTCTGTGAATATTATTAAAAAGTTGCATATAAAATTTAGCGAAACTGGTTGCATTGCGAACCTAAAAAAACCAAGAAACGCTAATGCTCTTTTTGAATAGTTGTTATCTACTAACGAAATGCTGCAAGCTAACAGTTACAGAAAATCGATAAGAAAGATTGCTGGAATTTTAGACATTTCTTTAAGTGACGTGCAAAGGTGTCTAAAATGTTTAAAACTGACTCCATATAAAATTCAGACCTACCAAAAATCGTACCCGTCAGATTATGAAAAACGACTAAGGGTATGCGAGACTTTACTAGATTTATTCAGGAATGAACCTAATACGTTATTAATCATTAGTGGAATGTGTAACAAACAAAATTGCAGAATATGGGGTTCTGAAAACCACACTTCTTTTAATGAATTTGAAAGAGATAGTCAAAAAGTTAACGTTTGGTGTGGGTTGTCCCCTAGAAAAATCTGTGGTCCTTTTTTCTTTACGGAACCAACTGTGACAGGTACAAATTACACGGATATGTTGGAACAGTTTTTTTATCCACAATTAGTTCAAAATGAAATTAGAGACATCGTTTACTTTCAACAAGATGGCGCACTGTGGCGACATCATAGCACCAGATAGTCTTACCTTTAGTTTTGACTTTTACGTCAATTTATTTTAAAGTTTCTTAGTCAGTTTTTATTTGAGGTTGGTCAAGTGTCAATGTCAGATGGTACCATTATAATATCACATATATTATGATCTTGGTCGATAGCTGCGTACACTAGCACCCTACTTATCCGATGGATGGTAACCATGGAAAAAGAAAACAAAAAATTGATGGATTACTGATTTCGAAAAAGAAATACAAGACGTACCTTTGACACAACATTTTTTATATAACGCTTTTTTATATTTTAAAATAAAATTATCATTATTTACTGAGACCCTGATTTCCTGCTATCTACACGCACCACCTCATTTTTCAATGATAGCACGAGATTCGTTAAATAATTTTTTTAATCAAAAGTGGATAGGTCGAGCTGGACCGATTGAGTGGTCACCGCGATCTCCTGATTTAACTGTCCCAGATTTTTTTCTCTGGGGATACGTGAAGGATAGATGCTACAGTCCTAAGTCTAACAAAGAAGAAGAACTAAAAGATAACATTAGGAACATTATCGAAAATATTCCGCCAGATATTAGAAAACCTTTGAAAATTTAAAATTTCGCTTGCGATTGTGCATTGAACAAGAGTGTAGACACGCAGCATTTATTTTACATCCTCATTATAAATGTTTGTTTTCTAATTTTTAATAAATTTTTGTTATGTTTTGTTACTGAATAAATTCTTTTTGGTAATTTTATTTAATGTCAGTTTTTAAATAAAGAAAACAGCAGTGTTACTTAAAAACTCGAAAATCTGTGTTGTTAAGAAAACAAAAGATATCAAAATATACATTTTTAAAAAGTAGATGAATCTCTCTTTTAAATGTCATCAAAATATACAGGGTGTTTAATTTAAAATAATACATATTTCTTCAATTCAAGTTGACCAATATTAATGGATCACCCTGTATTGATGTGATAAAATGTAAACAAACTTGAAAAAAAACTTTTAGATAAGCTGTGCATTTACATTTAAAATCGATCACTCTTATTTGGGACACCCTGTATTTTAAAACCAGCTGAATGGTCATTTGTAGATTCATTACACAAGAGTACCCAAAAAAAATGTGTTTTCTATGCGTGTACCTAGATATTTACGTACCTAATAAGCAGTTATCAAGAGTCTACTTTTGAGAATCCATTCACATAATCACTTATCTATTCATTATCTGTCAATCTTTTTTAAACAAACCTAATTCTAAATAATAAGACATTGATTTAGATATTTAGAGAATAATCAGAACTTAGTTCAATAATTATTCGAAATACATATAACTATTTTTGCAACAGGACTTTTTTTATTTATTGTTACGGATCGAGTTAATTTTTGTCCAAGAAATTGTCACAGCTGAAGGAAATAGACGTTCTTAGAAAAAGTGAGTATTAATTTAATATTTTCTCTTTCTTCTGGATTAACATAAATTTCTGTGGATGTCTAAAAGTCATACGGAAATAGTAGTTTGTGCAACAGAGTGGATATGTCGGCCATATCGCACGAAGACAAAATTGAGCACGACGCAGTTGCCGGAGTGCTCAATCGTCTGAGTGTGATGTGAACAATCCCGAGTTGGACAGTATATTTTTTCTACGAACCACTAAAGGAAATTAACAAAAAAAAAATATTTTATGTTTTTAAGAAAAAATACCTAATTTTAGAATAATTTATGGAAGGCAGATACTCGCCCTATCCGTCTACCGACAGATTTGGGAAACTTTTTTAATACTCGTAATTGAATTGACTTCATAGAGTTTTATTAAAATTAACAAATTAATTATAATTATAGTATAAATAAAAATAGAAATGCCATTATTTATCTATTCTACACAAAAATAAGTCATTTTATTGTATATTTAGGTTTAATAACAAAAAAAATATAGTGACAATTAGTTTACAGAATTGTCGCTTATTTAAAATTTCAAAAATAATCGTCGTCAGCTGACCAAAATATGAACTGTGATTGGTGGACTTCATTTTTTTGCAGTGCTCTCACTTTATAGAATGGATATGGATATGGATATGGATATGTACACGATCTATCGACGAATGTAAACATATTGATGTGAGCTCGTGTTAAAAGTTTAAAATAAGTGGTTTATAGGAAAGTGAACATTTTGAAAACCTGCCAGTAGATGGGATATGTGTTTCTTGTATTACAATAAATAATTAGACAGTTGTTACAAATTAAGTTTAGAATATTATTTAAAATCAGCGTTTACTACTTAGCCATATTAAGTTGGTTAAAAACTTAGAAATCAAGAAACTTTCTGTTGAAATTAAAGAAGTGAAAGACTTAATAAAAGGTAACTCGACTAAAATTGAAATACCAGAAAAAGATATTGAAGATCTTAAGTCAAGGAATAACTTTCTGGAAAAGAGGATAAAACAAAGTGGTATTCTAATTTTCAATTCCAAATTCCAAGGCAGTGACGTTCTGGATTTTACAGGTAACTTAATAAATTCGAATCTCGGTCTTGAAATAAAAACTGAAGACATTGATTATATATATATACAATTGGCAAAAATACTAAAAATCAAACAATATTCAAAAAATTTGTAAGATATTTGGTTAAAAAGCAAATACTACAAAATTGCAAAAAATTAAGAGGTACTAATATATAGTTAAGTTAACAACACTTTAAGTTTCCAAAAAAAAGCAAACTTTATTTATTTAAAAATATACAAAAATGGATCTTTAATTAACAATGTTTATCGTAAGTGATTAAAATAAAAAGAACGTTGATTCCCACGTTGACATGGTATTTATAATCTCGGGTTCATTGTCGCCAAGGTGCAAAGCGCTGACTTTGCTGACGAGGCACTCCGGGCATTGAACGGTGGGTTTCTATCACATTTCTCCTCCCTCCTTTGGTCCTGGCTTCGTCCTCGAAGTCTCTACGAGTAGCTCCTGAAGAACCTGGATTTGTGCTGGTTGTAGTTTGGGCCCAAAAAGAATTTTTGATATTCTTTTCTTTTTCTTTACTACGATAGTAAAAAGGAGGGCTGAAACAGAAATTATAAGGACAAGGGCGACAGTGCTGAGTCCTGTTGAAATTTGTGGCATAAGTGCTATTGGCTCTATTGGTTGGAGTTGTCCGTGGCTTTCTGGAATATTCAATTTTTCAATTTTTAATTTATGCTCTGGAATTAGTCTAATTTGGATGACTTCTGGAATGGCGATGTCTTGAATAGTTTTCTTATCATAGTGAATTCCTTCTATGTCGATAGGTTCATCTGACAACAGGATGCTGCTTTTTCGGATTTCTTGTTGATTTATTATTATTGGGTGGACTATTCCCAATAAAATTACTTTTCGGGTTTCCTGTGAAAAGTTCTCTGTGATCAATGTTTTGGTGCAATTTTGAACATTAGGGATGAGGCATCTGGACTTCACGGGCTTGGCACATATAGTGTAATCTGCTTGGCCGGTACATGTTTCATACCATTTGCTATTGGCATAATAGTGTGCAGGAGGCAAAACCATTATGTGATCATTATTAGGGATAGGATAAATTCTAAAGGTGGGGTAAGCGTTAACGTGGAGGATTGGGATTTTGAGAATTATGAGCATTGTATTGGGTGTGACGCAAACTAGAGATTTAGATGATTCGATAAGTTCATATGGGTGTTCGTCATCGACGAGTAGGGCATTTCTTGAGTAAATTTTTA